GTATTTTTAAGTGCACACTAGAGTTTCATTACTTATAACAACAGTATATGCCATATGAAAAAAGAAATATGAATAGCTGAAAGAATCGAATACATTACCAAATCTAATTAAAAAGTCCAAAATAAAACGGGCGCGTGAGATGACAAACATGTAAAAGTATTGTAATATATGTCAAATTTTTAAACTCACTGTACCAGTTTCTAAAAAATAAGAGCTTTAAAAGAAATAAAATTTGTACCTTCTGTAATTATATGTACAAACTTACTTTCGATTATAGTAATTTTTACTATACTCAATAGCAATGCAGTGGAATGAGAAATTTTACTATGGCACAGATCAAATTTTACTTGAGAATGTAGGAAATTTTAAAACGATTAGAATAAAATTTACTCTATTGTATAGCAAAAGTTGTACTATCACAATCTTTACTATATTAGACATAGTAATTTTTACTATGCCGTGTCATTATTTTTGTATGGCTGCTGCATAAAAATAATTATTTTAAATACAATAAAAATTATTCTATACGTAACGATTGGCGTCATTAGGTGCCCTCAAACATTGATGATACTGACATCGTATGGATGCCAAATTGATGCCAAATTCCATCACTATGATGTCTTTTAGTTATCAGTTCTCAAAATGTTATCCTCAGACAACTGATAACTAAAAGACGTCTCAGTGATGGAATTTGGCATCCATACGATGTCAATCATGTTCATTGTTTTGTGGGTTGTATGTCTTTGCTTTTTCGAAAAATATAGAAATTTTTAGTACAGTTATTATCCTTTTTCAACACCACTTCTATAAGTGCAGTCAAATTAAAAAATTCAAAATTTGTGACCGTCACTGACGGCGAAGATGTTTGTCAAAAAATCAGACAAAATTACTTAATAATTTTCTCATAGAGTACTACCCATTTATAAAGTTTGTAGGGCGATATAGAGTGCCAATCTAGTCAGTTTCCTAGGGCACCAGAATGTCTTAAGCCACCCCTGAACGAGTCCGAATAAAAAAATGCTCACTTTTTCTGTAGACTAGATGGCTAGAACTTAAACAAAATTGTTCTAGAAGTAATATTATTGTGACCACAAGTTTGTCATGTGTGTGATACGTGATTGATGAGTATTTTTTTACATACGAGTAACAAATTCACTAATGGCATTTAAATTATATATTTTAATATGGCCAATAAGAAACAGATAATAATTTTATTTATT